AAAAAAAAAAAAAAAAAAAAAAAGATGGAAAGAGGGGAGCACACTGTTGGGATATTCATGTATTATTAACCACATCTCAATTAGTTCTCATAAATATCATGAGAAGTTGATATTGTTATATTGATTTTACACGTGGGGAAATTGAGGTTCAGAGAGGTTGAGCAAATTGCCCAAGGCTACTCAGCCTGTGTGTGGCAAAGCCCAGGCCTAAACTCAGATGTGTGGCTCTCTAGCGTCACCCGATGACATTCTGTGCCAGGCACCGAATTGAGAAGAAGGGCATAACCATGAAAAGACTCAGTCCTAAAGCAGCAGAGCGGGAAGTTCTCATACTGCAGTCCCTGCGGGCAACTTTGTGTCAGTTTCCCCAGTACGCGGTTGTAAACGTGGTGGTGGACAGCGCACAGGACCGAGCGCCAGCCAAGGGCTTTCCACCAGTTCTGAGGGTGGAGTCCCCCTACTTCTGGCCCCTACCTCGCACCGCTAGGCTATTCGGGAGGCAGCCGGTAGATGTTGCGAGTGCCTGGGCATGAGTTTCCCCTTGTAGCGGAATTTCCCCTCTCCACACCTTGGCCCCCGCTCGGAGCGGCGGGGAAGGACCACGCGCTCCGGCGGTGGGGTGGCAGCCGGCGGCGGCGCATGGATGGCGACGCCCAAGGCAGCGGGGACCCCACGTGCGGGGGAGCGTGGACAGTGCCCAGCTCTACCAGGCGACGGCGCCCTCTGGCCTCTCCCCCTCCCAGGCTCAGGAGCCCAGTCACCATCCCGGACGCCCCGGGCACGGTGCGTGCGCGGGGGCGGCAGGGCAGAGGCGCACGCCAGGGTCCCTGGCCCGCCCCCGCGGCCCCCACACCGCTCGCGTCTAGCTCCCGCAGCGCCCTCCACCCTTGCACTCAGTGGTCGCCACACAGGAGCCCCGGCACCCACCTCCTCGCGCCCCAGGCGCGCCCACCCCCGCATCGCCCGCGGTCCTCCCCGAGCCTCTAGTTCACTACCTGCGGCTGCGCCTGGTTCCCGGGAGCCGCGAAGCTCCTCTGCAGGACGCTGCCGGCGGCCGGGAGCCCTTGCGACATGCCGCGCGCTTCTCCGGCCCGGCCCGGCCCGCCCCGCCGCGCAGCCTAGCAGAGGAGCGGCCGCCCGGCCCGGCGCGCCCTGCACGCGGGGAGCTGCCTACCAGCTCTCTCCAGCCACCGGCATCCCCGCACCCCAGCACCTGCCGGCCGCCGCTTCTGCCGCGCCCCCTCGGGCTTCCCGCTTTCCCGGCTCCAGCACCCGCTGCGCAACGCCCGGGTTTCCCCACCCCCCAGTCCGAGCCCGCCGTCCTTCCCGTCCCCAAGTCCGCCCCGCCCCCTCCTCCCACCCCCGCCTCGTTTCCTCCTCTCCCCGCCCTCTCGCCGCACCTCGGGGTCCCAAATACCACCCCTGTGGCGGCTTTCCGCTGGGGCCTCACTCTTCGTGGAAGTCACGTGGTGACTCCGAAACCCGGGAGGGAGCGCGAAGCCCACCCACAAGAAGCGAGGCTGGGCAGGTGGGGGGAGAGGAGGTGCGGCGCAGCTTCTGGGGTCTTGCGGCCGCTCTCGGAGAACTCGGGTTGAGAAACACAAGTGGGTGGTTTGGGATTGGTGTTTTTTCTCCCGGTCCCATCACGGCATCTTCCTGCGCATCGGCCCCGCCTTCCCCCAGCGCAGGGGTCACAGTCTCCGGGAACTTTCTCCGCCGCGATCAGTCACGCGCGCGCCACTCTCTCTCCTTCCGCGGCCCCCGGCTGCTCTGCCCAGGAGGCGCTGTCCCCGGGAGGGGACAGCGGCTTTACCGAGTCCCACTGCGCACCCTGAGAGCCACGGGCACTCCAGGGCCTTTCTGAGGGGAGCACCTACTCCAGTCTTCGTAGGGCTGTGGGAGGGAGCCAGGCGGGGCGGCCCCGAGGGTGAATTCCCTCAGTGGAGGGTGGCGAGGAAGAGGTTGTCCTGGAATTTAACAGTGGCTGGGCTTCCCCCAGAGCCAAGCTGGCACGGTGGACGTCGCTGTTTAACAGGTTCGGGGATCTGGACTCTCCGTGCTAACGTTAAATGGACCAGATCCTTTTTCTTTCTCAAGATTGAAGTGGCAGATGCTCTGTCAACAGGTTAAGATGCGTGACTTCTTCATGCCAAACAGGATGAGACAGAGGTCCTGAGGCGCGTTTCCTCCACCTGCCTGCCAGTTAAAAGATGCAAAGTCAAGACCATTGTTGTACATGGTCCCAGCAGAGAAAAAACAAGTGGTTATGGGTTTAGCGGTCTGCTTTACTGTGAGCACCGGGAAGGAAAGATAATCGCGAACCTGGGTGGGCGGGTGGGAACCAGAACCAGGAGGTCAGACGTGCCTTCCTTCCGAGTGTAGTCGCTTAAGCTTTCAGGCTCCAGGCTCTTGGGCAGCAGTGGGGATGGGGGGGGGGGCACTTCTGACTCCCAGTCTAGTGCACGTGGCTCTCCGCCAGGATTAAGACCCTTGCAAAAGCTTTGAGATGCAGCCTGGCTGAGGGCAGGGAAGCAAGTGGAGAGTCTTGTCTGTGTGTGCAGGGGCTTCGACCAACTGAGAGGAGGGCAGAGGTGCACAGCGGTGGCAGGAGGATAGAGGGCGGGCACAGCCCTTCACAGGGACAGTGCGGCACCCCACACAATTAAGGCTGCACAGCGGAGCCATCTCTAGATCTACCTAGATTTCTCTTCTCATCTCCCTTTTATCGTTTTCTTCTCACAACATAACTCATGGTTGTCCTGGGGCTATTATTCTGCCTCTTACACAGGCACACACAAGGTGCCTAGCACAGCCTCCATGCACGAGTGATTAGTAAATGTACTGCTGTAGGTCAACTGAGAGCCCTCATTCTTGGAAACTTAGCAGGACTCTAACAAGATAGGAAAACCTCCGGGTCAAGTGGTCTTTAATTTTTAGAAATGCAGTCATTCCCCAATATGGGGAAGGGACAAGCAAGGTGAAAACGCAAGGACATTTAGGGGCACTCCCACACTTCACTCTGGTTATTGCTCCTTTTGTGTTCTCACTGAACCACACCACATCCTAAGTCCTTTGGGACTATACTTTCCCCAGGGAGCCTGGAATCCTGCCCCAGCACACAAGAACTCTTCATACAGGCATAGACCTACTGTCTCAGTTATTCAAGGGTTTCTTCAAGTGTATTTAAAGGAAGAGTGTTGGTTAACTAGTGAGCATTTAAGGAACAGATTAATTTAACCTGCATATCATTTACATAAAAATGGATAAATGAAATAATTAGATATAGAAAATAAAATCAGGAAGATAAAGCAGAATTAAATCCTTTATCAAAGCCCTGGGTATAAGACAAAGTGGAGAGAATATTCTAAGATGACAGATGATAGGAAAAACCACGTTGATAAAGATCTGAACTGTATAACAATGTTAAATTTCTTCAGATGACAGTATAACAAGTACATTTAAACCAATAGCTGGGGGAAAATATTCACAATAAATATGAAAAAGGGTTAAAATCTCTATTATATATACAGCCCATGAAAAGGAATAAGAAAAATATTGAGACAACCTCCCAGAGGTAAACCGAGCAAGTGACAGGAACTGGCATTTCCCAACAGAGAAAACAATCAAGGAAACTAGCTATAGGAAAAATACATATTAAAATAAGAAACGTTTTATACTATTAAAGTAGCAACAGAAAAAGTTGTGAGAGTGTGGTGAAATTGGTACCCTCATACCTCACTGGGATCATTGTAAATTGGTACAAACCACTGGGAAGCAATTTTATTGTAATTTTTAAGAACCATGCAAGACATCACTTTTGACTTAGTTTTCCCCAGAAAACTTCTAGAAAGTCAAGTTCATTGAAAGTATTAAAGAGGAAAATACTGTATGAACTAAAAGTTCATAATAATATTTTGAGTGAAAAACTGTAAAGCAACATATATGTCCAATTATAGGTGAACAGTTAAATAAAATATGTTATAACCATGGGATAGAATATTATGCATCTTTAAAATTACAAGCATGTAGACAAATTGGCTACATGGAAGATTTATTTGATATGAGGTAAAGTGAGGGAAAAAATCAGGGTACAAAAGGCACAAGTATGACACATATGTAAAAGTATATGGGGACTTCCCTGGTGGCACAGTGGTTAAGAGTCCACCTGCCAACGCAGGGGACACAGGTTCGAGCCCTGCTCCGGGAAGATCCCATGTGCCGCGGAGCAACTAAGCCCGTGAGCCACAACTACTGAAGACTGCACGCTTAGATACCATGCTTCGCAACAAGAGAAGCCACCACAATGAGAAGGCTGCGCACTGCAATGAAAAGTAGCCCGCGCTCACCACAACTAGAGAAAGCCCACGAGCAGCAACAAAGACCCAACACAGCCAAAAATAAATACATAAATTTATTTTTAAAAAATATGTGCAGAACACTACTGTACTGTACACTTAAAATGGCTAAGATGGTACATTTTATGTTGTATGTTTTTTACCATGATGAAAAAGTGTATGCATGAGAGAAGAAAATGGAAGGGAATATACCAAAGTTCTAGCTTTTCTTTTATAGTGGTGGGTTTTTGTGGGGTGGTGTTTTTAATTTTTTTTTTTTTTTTTTTTTTTTTTTTTTTTTTTTTTGCAGTATGTGGGCCTCTCACTGCTGTTGCCACTCCCGTTGCGGAGCACAGGCTACGGACACGCAGGCTCAGTGGCCATGGCCCACGGGCCCAGCCGCTCCATGGCATGTGGGACCCTCCCGGACCGCGGCACGAACCCGCATCCGCCGCATCGGCAGGCGAACTCCCAACCACTGCGCCACCAGGGAAGCCCCCTTTTACTTGTCTTTTTTAAACTTTTTGGAAAATGTTTTATTATGTTAACAACTTAAAATATTTTATATTTACAAGTGATATTATCTCCCCTGGCTCTAAGCTCATTTGTCACAGCAGAATGCCAAAACCCTCTGAATAAGTGGGAGGCTCTAATAACAGCCTGTTTTCTTGTTTTTCTGTGGTATTTTCTGGTTCATTTTATTCGAAGTCAGGAGGAGAAAGAAAAATGAAAAGGAAGAAAAGATAAGAACAAACATTTCAAGTGACTCCTTTTCTTCTTTTCTTTTTATTTGTATTTTTCCCTTTGAAATGGTGAGAAAAATTATATGATTTGGCAATTTCCTATTACTACTGCCGTGACTCTGGATTACATTTTGGGGAACAAGGGGAGGAGGTGCAGGAGATTTATAATTCAGTGATCAAATCCTCTGGTGATTCACTTCACAAGAAAACAGTTCTATATAGAAACAAGCTGCTCAAATGCTAGAAAACCCTGCCACTATGTCATCTTTGCTCTTCTCTTTTAGGGAAACTGGATTTCCAGTAACTATACTTTCACTGATCTTTCTCAGAAGGTGGTCCTGCAGGCTGCTGGTGGGGCTAGAGAAAGGAACATTTAAGGCAGAGACCCCTATGTTTACCAGAAAACAGTCATTATGTCAGGCACTGGGTACAGCAGTGGACAAAACAAAGATCCACACCTTAAGGAGCTCACATTTTAGAGGAGGGAGACAGACAATAAGCAAAACACAGATACTGCAAACTCTGACTGCACCAACAGAAACTCAGAGGCCCTTTTAATCTGGTTAAAGAGAAGCTCAAGAGAAAGTGAAACAGCTCCCATTCCTTGCGGGAGAAGGCTCCAGGCCAGCCGTGTGGCTGACAGGGTCTTGGTGCTCTGGCCGGGTGTCAGGGCTGTGCCTCTGAGGTGGGAGGGCCGAGTTCAGGATATTGGTCCACCAGAGACCTCGCAGCCCCACGTAATATCAAACAGCAAAAGCTCTCCCAGAGATCTCCATCTCAACGCTAAGACCCAGCTCCACTCAACGACCAGCAAGCTACAGTGCTGGACACCCTATGCCAAACAACTAGCAGGACAGAAATACAACACCACCCATTAGCAGAGAGGCTGTCTAAAATCATAATAAGGTCACAGACACCCCAGAAGACACCACCGGATGCAGTCCTGCCCACCAGAAAGACAAGATCCAGCTTTATACACGAGAACATAGGCACCAG